CATCATGTCAGATTAGATATTTGATTTAAAAGTGGTTTTGATTTGGTTGTACATTAAATGTCTGACTTGTAAACCCACAGGTACTTACATTGGAAAACCAGAATCTCCCCAATCGCATTTGACGCTTGAAGCAGTTTTTCACAACGTGATCCATAAAAACAGTAGCTGCACTTTGCTGCCACCCTCTGGAACATCATGGAAGCACATCATGGCTTAAAGAATGAAGTATTTCTACACCCTTTGGTAAAATAACATATGTTTAGATATAAGGAAATAATTAATATGATGATTCAGCACAGGTTGTCTTCTTGCATGTTGTTAACCTGGAGATTTATTATTAGATGCAAATCCCACATTTTAATACAAACACAGAACTGATTTATTGTCCGACTATATAGAAAGACTTCTTTCGTCACAGGTTATGAGAAGACATCCCTGTCCACTTACACTTTGTGATTTTACAACCTAATGAGACTGAAAGTATCTAAAATGTATGTTAATGCTTTCAGTGACATTCTGTTGTAGAAATTAAATGTAATTATCCAATTTAAAAAGCTTTAAAAGTTGTATTTTAATAGTAAAATGTTAGCTGACTCATCATTTTTGGCTAAAGTTAGTTGGAGGCTTTGTGAAATTTCAAAAGACTCTTATAGTTTAATGTGTCTGAATAAAACTATATAATTTTTTTTGTCAAAACTAACACTTTTTAAGCCTCATTTTTCCCCTTCACTCAATACTTGAATTTATTATTTTTGTTATAGAATTATCTCATGAAGGATTGCATTAATCCAATGAAATATTCACAGATTTTAATGTCAAGATATGTAAAACACATCAAGATATGTGTTTTACATATCTTTGCATAAAGATATGTAAAACACATATAGATAAACAAACATCACGTGGATGGTATTTGCTTATCTTATTTGCTCTGTCGTACAGAAGTAATGTGAAATTGTAAATATTAAATGTAAAAAAATAAAATGCTTGTAGTTTTAGTTCTTCACACAGCACTGGTTTTGTATCAAAATGCTGTCGAGTCGTTTACACACACGCACACACTGCAACGCGTAGCCAGCAATATTGACCCAGTGACCACTCCGTAGTTCTCAAATGGTCAGGTTACCATGCAACCTGATAGAGCATAGGCTGGATCATTTGTCTTTTCGCGAGTAATACATGTAATTAGACACGCTAACTTAACTGTATTTATTTCCCTGTTATATTTAGTCAAGTTTGTGTCCCACACCGAGCTTTTTCTTCTCGAATAAATTAGCTCACTTACTGCAGACGCTAGTGTGCGGCAGTTAGCTAGCCGACGACAGCGTCGTTAAAAAAAAAAAGAAAAAAAAAAACTAAAAGTTCCTGTTTTGTTGGGTTAAAATAAAGTGGCGTTTCTGACTTTAGTTTCTGTGACATAAAAATACTGAACTTGCAGAATGAATGTCGCTAAAAGTGGCTACCGTGTGTTTTCTGCAAACTCCTCCGCTGCTTGCACAGAGTTGGCTAAGAAGATAACAGAGTGAGTACTCCAAGCACTAGTTAATGTTTAGCTATACTCGCATGTATTCAGGTACTTAGGTGTGTTCGGGTGTAACTACTAACTGACATAAATAAAGGGATATTACAAGAGGCAGAGTAGGTTCAGGTGATTTGTCATTTATAGTATATTGTAATCATGAATGATTGAACAATGTTAGAAATTCAGCAAACCCTGAGATTACACAATTATTTGAAAAGTGCATGCAAAGGTATGCTTTTGTTTTACAGGAGGTTGGGTGTTGAGCTGGGAAAATCTGTCGTCTTTCAGGAATCTAATAGAGGTAAGAAAAAAAAATTGAAAATCCCCAACTCGGGTAGGTGATTTCTGATTTATTTATATCTGTGCACATTTTATTTATTCCCTGCCCTCTTTAAGTTATTTTCAGTTTTAGCAGATACAAGGTGGTCATCGCTTACTTTGACCACCTCTAGTTTCCCCCCCCCCCTCCCAAATACTAAGAAAGCATATGCAAAGGTTTGAAAAACTTTTTTTGTAATGCTGCGTTAATGGCCTGAAAGTTGAGAAGGCTTTTATTGCCATCGCATCATTTTACACAGAAAAATAACACAGTTCTCTAAGAATTATAAACAATTTATTTTATTTTTCCATGCCTCCCAAACAAGGAGTTATCTTATGACTTATAAAGATCAGCAAACATTTACCTTACTTGAATTTCATGGTTTTTTTTTATGTATATATATTTTCCATTTTGAAGAGTGGTTAAGACAAATGTCTTTCTTTTGAGTAATCATCTAATCTAATCTTCTAGACAATTTGATTAAAAATCTAATAATGTGGTGATTTTGCCCCATCCCCATTTTTTTTAAGATAAATTATTTAGCATGTCATTATCACGCAACAGTGAACTTTCAAGTTATTTGAAGACTTTTTACATATCCTGAGCAGGACACCGAATAAATCAGTATTTTACTGATTTATTCACATGCTCTGATTATGTGTATTAAAACTAAATACAGGCTTTTAAAGTTGACTTAAAGTTTAAGAAATTATAGTTAGAAATATCAGTGTTTCAATTCATATGATAAATTGAACCTTTATTTACAATAAGCAAATGTTCCAACATAAAATACTAATTGTTTGTATAGCGTTTGTTTATTTTCAGCTTGTAAATTGCAGTTTGTGTGAAATGACATTTTCCTCCCTTTATATAGAGACAAGAGTGGATGTGAAAGAGTCTGTTCGTGGGCAGACCATCTTCATTATCCAAACCATACCAAGGTGAGCACAGAAAACTTGCTCGTTTTTATCACAGCTGGATTCTTTTTCTAATCGAAATCTTTAACTATCTCTTCTTTATTTTTCTATAACCAGAGATGTCAACACAGCCATCATGGAGCTCCTCGTTATGGCGTATGCTCTTAAGACGTCCTGTGCGAAGAACATCATTGGAGTTATTCCTTACTTCCCCTATAGCAAGCAGTGCAAAATGAGGAAGAGGGGCTCCATAGTTTGTAAACTGTTAGCTTCAATGTTGGCTAAAGCAGGTACAGGAATCAAAGCAAAACTGAACAGCAGAATTAAAAAAAAAAAAAAAAAACTTCTCTAATTAACATTTTATTTTTTGTGCATTTCTGAAGGATTGACACATATCATCACCATGGACTTGCATCAGAAAGAGATCCAAGGCTTTTTCAGCTTTCCGGTGGATAATCTGCGAGCCTCCCCGTTTTTGATTCAGTACATACAAGAGGAGGTGGTTGTTGTGTTTGTGTCTTCGTCTTATGACATCAATTGAGACAATTGATGCAAACAAGAGTTTGGAAGAATTGGTAACATCTGCTTTCCTTTATTCGGGTAGATTCCTGATTACAGAAATGCTATAATTGTGGCAAAGTCCCCTGCTGCAGCTAAAAGGTATCAGACGTCGGGCAACATTACATTGATGTTACATTGAAATCACAGTAGAGGCCTAGTTTATCCTTTTATCTGTTTTTACCTATTCAAAGTATTCACAGGTTGTCTTCTGTCCTTGCAGGGCTCAGTCCTATGCGGAACGTCTCCGACTGGGTCTGGCTGTGATCCACGGCGAGGCCCAGTGTGCCGAGTCGGACATGGCCGATGGAAGACACTCGCCGCCGTGTGTGCGCAACACCACAGGGCACACGGGACTGGAGCTGCCTAGTGAGATCCCGGTCTTTCTTCTTTTAGAACTTTACTTTATCCAAAATTGCACAAATAATATCTGTCACATGTTGTTGTTTCATGCAGTTACGTGACTTTTTTATTGATCGGTTTCCCAAAGTTTTAACATTTAAACACATGCTTTGACTTGTTAGATTAGAAGAATGTATCTTCTTGACCACAAACTATTACAGACATTATGAACCAAAAATGAATGTAGCATCATTAACACAGCCTCGTTTACCTTTCGGTGACACGTTGAGATGTCTGCATTGAAAGGGTAGTTAACAGTCTAATACAACTTCTACATGTGCTAACCTCTTTTGAGCTGATGATTGTGCTGTTTCTCACTCATACCATTACTCATACTCAAAGTAATTGAGTTTATGTCATTGCATGACCTCACAGATACACAACTTCTACTCACAAAGCATCCGTAGCAGTCGACCGATAGTAAGGCCCCCCACCTCACACTGGAATAAGGTTATATTATGAAATGAAGAATCTGCCAGGTCTCAGAGTAATCTTCTGTGGCATATTAAAAATACAGCGTGCAGCATTACACGTGAAAATCAGTGTTTTGTGAAAGTGCACACACCTCCAAATTGTGCATACAACTTGGCTGATGAAGGTCCGAAGCAGGGTACGAGGTCCCTGGGTTATAGTTTGGATGCAAATGTATTTGTTACATTTCAGTGAGAAGGCTGGGCATTATATTTAGAGATGAGAACGAGGAGTAAAAATGTTTGCACAGGTTTATGGAGGTTTAAAATACAGTTCTAAAATGGTTGCAATGTGTATCATTAAAAAAAACAACAACAACAACCACCAAGCTTTAGAACATTGGTGTAATCAGTTCACAATGAAAAACATTTATTTTTGGCTTTTTCTCCTGACCGATACACACAACAGGCAAAACAAATTATATGCTGATTGGTGAGCTAGAAGCTGTACATGTAAAAATGGATGAATTCAAACAAACTCCTGGGGTTCTTTCAAGGCAAGGTGGAGAAGCAGAAATCTTCTATATGTATGATTTTAGTACAGATTGGGACAATCTGTGCGGATGTGAAGTCCGTGGTGAAGTCCTGGATTTCCCATAATCCAGCAGGGTCCTAGCAATCTTTACGGTCCCAGAGAAGTCTAATGTGGAGGGAGTCGAAGCAAGAAAATATTTAAAGAAACGTCTCATTCGCTTGTTTCCTGCCACATATTTGATCATTATGCGTTAGGGTGTCATCAAAAGAGAACCAAAATCAAATAGGTGTGTCATTGGCAAATGACTCCGATTGAATAGTCTCAGTACTTTTTGTGTTCCCATGCTTAACTTTGAGATGATAAAATCCACTTATACATTTTTTTTTAACTAACAAAAAAACTTTGTCTTAGACGTTTCAGTCAGTCTGCTTTATTAATATTATTTTTCAAATTGCTTTCAACCCAGATTTTTCTTCTTTTTTCTTTCTTTTTAAGTCTTGGCATACAGTGTGTATCATGTGTTATACTTGTGCATTTGTGTTAATGTGGTGTTTATTTGTCGACAATAGCAGGCAAACAACAAGCTCCGTTCCCTGGCATAGAGCTTCCAAGTACGACCTAAAGTTAATTTATATCTGACCATGAAATGATTCCTCTTCAAATTCTACTTCAATTTGTGCATGCGTAGAAAAAAAAAAGGGTTTGTCTTTGCATCTTGAGAAACATACAGTCTGGATTCACGAGGGGGAGTTGGTGGAATATTGACTCTCCAACTAATAGAGGCTGACATTGTTGAATTTTTTTTTTATTTTTTGTCCAATTGGCCGTTTGATCTCCACTTTTCTCCCAGCAGCAGTTTGTGTGGCGCGTTTGTCTTGAACTGAACAGACGTCATATTTACTGCACCTTCGTCTGATTCCAGACAGCTGCTTCTACAAGATGGCTTAAACTTTCTATGTTTTGTGGTGCTCTAATTTTAGTTTCCTTAAATCAAACCAGAACTGCGTCAGTTTTTTATTTTTATTTATTTATTTATTTATTTTCTGATGGACTCATCTTGCCAATCAACACATGCTGCCATTTTTAAACCACTTTTAACCTGATTAACCTTGTGTCATGATTTGCATGTAAGGAAACAATGAAGCATGCTTTAAGGATCTGTTACTAGAAAGTCAGTAGGAATGTAACGATTGACAGATTCCAGCATTTAATCTAGAACCGTCAACAAAAGATGCATATTGGCAGATTTTATTAATCCTTTCTTAAAACAGTAAAAGTCTAACCAGACTTTTTTCAGGTCGTTACACGATGCAGCACAGTTGGATTTTGGTAAACTGTATTTTAATCACAACGTGGATTCTGCTGTTCTTGGTGTACATAGTGATTCCAGGTTTTCTCACACTGAGGGGGCTGATTGAAATTCACTGTTCTGCAAGGCATGCTTTTTTCCTTTCTTTGCTTTCTAAAACTTTTCCTTCACAATCAGCTTGGCTTGCTGATTGTTTACCAGTTGATTGTTTCCTAAAAAAAAAAAATCCCTCTTGATTGCCTGCATTTACATGCACACCGGTATTTTTGAAATGGTTCTAAGCATTTTGCTAGTTTTTGTAAAGATTTTTGGTCAATCTCATAGAAAACTCTGCCTTAAACATCAACCATGAATAACTTTAATGCCTTATTTTGCAGTTAGAATTGGATGTGTATGAGTTTATACATGGGCAGCCCTGTTCAGGATGTTTACATGCACTCATCACTGATGCGAACCTAAGAATGGTTCCTACGTCGTACAACTTAAGTAATTTTTAAGCATAATGATTGATTGCACAAGTTTGAAGGTATTTAGAAGTTTCTGTAATGAACACAGGGTCAACATTTTACAAAGATGGATACACACCCGCTGGATGTATTTATGTATTACTAGAGAAGCTTACATATATAAATGTCTCATTTTAGCAAGTTGCATTATAAGTGTAAATATTTTCTGTAGCTCTCAACAAGCTTCTGGCATAATTCTGACTGGATGTTTGAGCACTTTTCGTAAAGTAAATTGTACACTTCATTTTAACGACTTGCGTTCCCAACACTGGCATTTTTTTTTTTTTCAAACATAATTCTCTAATTTTTGTGCACTGAGAGGAACTTAAGGAAGAAAAAAAAGACCTTCTCAAAGCTCCAAATTGAATTTTAACTTTGCTTAAAAATACCCCTCCCCCATTTCCATATTTGTCAGGAAAACCACCCCATGTTGATGATCTCTACTACTTCTGATGAGAATTATTATTTAAATATGCAGCCAGAAACGTGCTGATGGTTGAGGAGCAAATTGCAGTAAAGCATGAGTGTACGTAAACTTCTGACTGGACCTGTAGGTAGCACTGCGGTCGTTTGTATTCAGCAGACGAACGTCGATGAGGCCAGGATATTCAGACGTTGTCATAAGCTAAACAGCTGCATGAGTGTATGTTTAGATTCCGTATTAAAAATGGTGAGCCAACTCATTGTAGCTGATGAAGCCAAACTAAGTGGAGCATAAATATGGCTTATTTAAAATGTTTTAAAACAACAATATGACTAATGGGGGGTGTGTGTGTGCATGGAAATGTAGGCTGTTCGCTGGCAGCGCTCAGATTTGACTGACCGGTTCAGAACATTGGCAAGTGTGTATGAAGGATCTGTCATCAGTGCTTGCCACTGTTGGTGTGTGTTAAACTGTCTGTTTGAGGACTGCTGCTATAGCCTGGGCCTGAAGGTGTGTGGGTGTGGGTGTCTATACAGGCAGCTTTTTCTTTTTTTTTGGATTGGGTATCCTGGGCTGAAACTCCTTTTGTCATTTGACCCTTGCATGGCATGCTTTGCACTAGGTTAGCCTTCCAGCTTGATCTCCTAAGAAGTAGGAGGGGTAGAATGGAGGGGAGGGGGTACATGAACCAATGACTTTGATTAATTGATCGTCATTTTAGTTTAGCTTTACATTTTTAGAAATCAAATTTAGTAAACCAAAATATATATATATATATAAATTGGAGAGCTAGATTGCTCAAAAACCCTTTTCTCAACCCATTTTACCCAATCTACTTAGATTTAATCTTTGATTCCTAAAAAAGAAAAAAAGTTACTCTTAACTAAGTAATACGAGGTAACCCGATTTTCTTTCCATTTTAGTAATGATGGCCAAAGAGAAACCTCCGATTACTGTAGTTGGAGATGTCGGCGGAAGAATCGCCATAATAGTGGTAAGATTCTTCAGATGCGATATTAAAATCTTTTGTACTTTGAATGTCTGAATATATGAATACATGTTAATAGGGGTGCACAGATATGAAAATTTTGGGTGATAATTACCAATCTGTAACAATATCATATATATATATGTATAGTGTATATATCTCACTGCACATTTGACATTGTATAAAGGCGATCACGCCACCTAAATTGCCTCTTTTCTTTAAACACTCCCACAATCCTGTGCTGCTCCCACCCGTCCTGCATCGTCTCAGGGTGGAAATAAACACCAACTGTGAACACCAGCCCAGTTTTGCTTATCAGACCGACCCCAATATGTAAAAAAGAAAAGCCAAAAATCGGCCTATGTCAATTCAACGTATATCTTTAGCTGCTAAAAGATGTGAACTCCCAATTACTCCAACCTCAAGGTGTTTTTATGTCAATACACAATATGCTATGGTGCAGAGAAAGTACTGATTGTAAAGAATTGAAAGGTCACAGTTTTCACAACTAGTTTTTAAATGTCTTCCATGTGCAGATGAATCTGTGTTTTTAACTATCTATTTCCAATAGAGACGGTGATAGAGAGACTGTATTGGCTTCCTTTCCGTGTGTGTTAGATTGTGTTGTGTTCTGGAATGTGGTGTGTTTTCTGAAGCCTCTTTTCTGCCACCCGTGTTGTTTTTCTGCTACAGTGACTCCTATTTCCTCTCCCTCCTTTTTCTTGGTGTCATTGGTTGCCTTCTGTCGATTCTAACTGGGAGAGCGAGTTAAAATATTGTAACCACATTGTTGTTTTTTCTGCTCAGGATGACATTATAGACGACGTAGGAGACTTTGTTGCTGCTGCAGAGATCCTGAAAGAGAGAGGGGCGTATAAGATCTACATCATGGCCACCCATGGTTTACTTTCTGCAGATGCTCCTCGTCTCATAGAGGAATCGGCTATCGATGTGGTGAGAACGTAGAACCTTACGGTTTTCAGATGTGTGCGCCTCGATTGTTTTCTGTTTTTCTTCTATGAAAACATGTTGCACACGAACTGAACTAAAGAAGATAGATGAGAACAAACTTCAGCTTTTGTTCTTTAGAACAGTGTAGGATAACGTACTTCCTTTTAATGGGAACTCGATCTGAACTGTCACTCATCGCACTTCTGTTACAACAAAGAGTTATTGTTTTCAGCAGCGTCATTTTTATTAGCCGTCGGTTTCTGTTCCTAAAAGCTGCCAGGTGTTCAGAAAACGGTAGTTCCAGAACATTTCTTGTTAACCAGACATTTCCACGGTAGTTTGTATTTACACCAACTCGCAAGTTAACTATTCACAGAAGTTTGTTTTTTGTTCACGTTTTGTCATTTCACAGCCACAAACATTGCAGTTAATTGATTGACATTTAATGTGATGAACTAACACATTATTGTGGAGAGGAAGAAAAATTACATTTTCAAAATATTTCACTAATACAGTCACATTTGTGAGACAGCAATCGAAATATTTCCATCAATTTATTTCAAATTGAGAATTTGCAGTCTGCTGTAAAAAACGGAGTGAGCATGATCTGTTCTTGTGTATTCAGGTGGTTGTGACAAACACGGTGCCCCACGAGGTGCAAAAGCTGCAGTGTCCAAAAATCAAGACGGTGGACGTCAGCATGATCTTAGCCGAGGCCATCCGCCGCATCCACAACGGGGAATCTATGGCCTACTTATTTCGCAATATTACAGTGGATGACTAAGGAGCGTCAGTGACAGACGCCTCTGCACCTTTTACTAACGAAACGCTGTTCCACGTGTTGTTTTTGATTGACATGCATACATGTAATCCTGATTCAGTTAAAGAACTTCTCAAAAATCGACCAAATAATTTGTCTTCTTTCTAAAATGTGTGTTTTTTTTTATTTTTTTTTCTTCCCTTTCTAAAAGAGAAAAACCTTCAAATCCAAGGCGAGCACACCTCAAAAAGAGCGTACTTTGATGTTTTGAAACGAAAGGCGAGGATTGTATGAAGTGGCGTTGTTGCTAGCAGCTGTTCAGAAACATTGGCTACGGTTAGATTTCAATGGAGAAGTGATTACAAGATGCGGTCGTCCTGGAAGTAGTGAAACTGAAGATGGGAATCTGTGTTTTGACAGATGAGCGAGGTGCGACACTTTTAGCCTGTTTTCAGCCCCGTCTTCCTCCTCCGCAGTGTAAATGAAGTCCGTGCCAAAATCTAAGAAGCCATACAGTGAAATATAAACGCATTTGAGTGACCTGTGATCCCGTGTGGTGCTTTGCCATGCTGTGTTGTATCAGGCCTTCCATAGATCAGTGTTTGCACAAAGGTAGATCTGTTTATGGGGGGAACAAAGAGGGTGGCATTTACTTCATTTTAAAAAAATACACATAGTTTCATGTAAATCCAAAAAATATATATATATCTATATATTTATAATCCTAATTTTGGTGATTTTTTTTTTCAGTTTTTCTTGCTTCTAACTTAAATACCAGTTGTGTTTTTGTCATGCACTACAAAAAGTTCATATTTTCACGTTGAGCCTAATCTGCAGAGAATAGATGGACATCTTAGCAAAGCAGAGCATGTTGCTTTTCGCAAGAAATCCAAACCAACACACTCCATGCTTTTTTTTTTTTTTTTTTTCAGATTGTTTCCACATTATGTTGCCTCATTATCTCACAGCAAAACATTTCACAGAAGCCCCACAGGTCAGTTCCTTTCACAGCTGTACTTGTTGCGTGATCGGTTAACTAAATTGCAGTACTGAATTGAATATTTCAAAATGGCCCCCTATTTCACTCGCCATTAGTTAAACCTAGTATTATATAAGTAGATTTTTTATTTCTGTGAAAACGTGCCCTGCCATCCATTCTTTTTTTTTTTTTTTGATTATTTATATTCTACTGAATTCTGTGTTTTAGGATGGAGCCACATTAATTTCAGAAATACACTGAATTTAGGCTTTTTTTTTTTAAAGAAAAAAAAAGTGGATTTTAGATGCTGGAGGGCTGTTTCGCTTTGCTGACTTTTTGCTCAGGGAATATACTTTAGATGCCAATGCACATTTATTTGTTCCTGAGTTTGTCAGGCTGTGTTCACTACCTGCTGCACGTGTTTGAATAAAAATAATAGCATTTCGTGAAAATGTCTTCCACGCAGCAGCAATGTGACTTGGCAATGTGCTTTGGTTAAAAAAAAAAAAAAAAGGCTAGATTGTTTTTTTTTTTTTTTTCTTAAAATATTAATAGAAGGACATTTGAAAATGTTAAGCTGGTTTTTGTGTTAGCATGAACCTATGAAGCGACACTCCCATTTAAGCTCTAACTGCATCTGTCTTGAATGCATTTGGTAACGACTCGTCCCGGGTTTCCTCTCCTTAACCTTCTGTCTGACTCCGTGTCTGTAAATGTAGATGAAAATAAAGTAGCTGCCTCTTTCTCTGGCTCCTTTTGTGTAGTTATTTTCAGTTTAAATGCACTCACAATGCCCTTTTCTGTGTTTATGGAAGCTGTTTTCCCAATTACGATACCACTAAGAAATTAATTAAAGTGAGAAACACTTGCCGAGGATTTTCTCTCAACACATTGTCAGATTTGTTAGACATCCACTAAGCTGCGTTTCAACACAAAAACTCAAAAATCCTGGTTTCACTTTGGCTTATTTGAACACTTATTCATGGAGCTGTTAGGTTTTTTTCACTGCGGACTGTACTTGTGCATTGCATGTGACCGCAAATCAGTAGATAACTGGTTTGAAACTTTGACACACGTGGTTGTTTAGCCAATGCAATGATCCTACACAAATTAATAAAGCAAACCAAGGCTTAAGACTTCTTAAAAATGTAACCAACCAAATGACCGGTGCAGATTATACGGAGTTAATGATGTAATTTTATTCTGTTACACATTTAGAATAGGTAGCTAAGAATCAATCTATTAATTTCACTTGATTAAAACGACAAAAACAATTCTTGACTGAATGCTAAATCAAATCTCTATCCCTTCAATGATGCTACTGATAAATAATAGACAATTTAGAAATAAGAAAACACTGAATGATGAACATTAAGTGCCAAACTCACCTCAAACTCCTGAAGGCAGAACTTTTGAAACGACACCGAGAACATTTGATGCAGACAAAGGTCAGAGATCCTGTACTTGCTCCAAACTTCTCAGGTAACTAAGCAGCTCTGAGGAGCTTGGACCAAGTCCAGGAGCGGACCTTTTGAGAATTTAAGCAGCGCAGCGGCAGCACGTCCATCTAAAAGAAGCTTTGTGGCCTTCATAAAAATTTTAAGCGCACCTGGGCTCTACCCGGGGGGAAGGGTCTGCCACCGTGTCTCCAGTAATGTAGCAACAAAAGAGAGGAGCAGCTGTGAGGTTAAAGAGCACAAAGAGGAAGCAAACGTTTGTTGCAGGTCGCTTCCTCGTTTCGTACGGGCGAAACAATTCACCTCGGCTGTTAGCTTTTAGAAAGAGGAAGCACGCTGGAGATTTTGTGACGGGCTTTATGAGGATATAAAAGTGTCAGCTGAAATTACAATAGATCTTTATCAAGAGGTTGAATCTACTGAATAGGAGAGGTCTGTAAAAAAAGACAAAGAAAATAAAAAAAATACTTATGTTGAATAAGGATGGAGATAATATATTCAGAGGTGGGCAGAGTACCCAAAAATTGTACTCGTGTAAGAATAGCACTGCTTCGTATAACATATTTATACTCGAGTGCAAATGTTATATTTGTCCAAGAAATTACTCAAGCAAGAATAAAAAAAAGTATTTAGGAAAATGTCTGCTCAAATACACAGTAACTGATCAAAACCTCGATCACTTAATATTTAAAAATGACATCATCTCAAATAAAGCCATGTGGATATTTTTGGTATTTTAAATATCAAAATGAAAATATTTCATATGAATAATAACAAATCAGTTTCTTTCGGTATAAAACTTGTGAAACTTTAACAAAAACTGCAGGTATGTTAAAAACTTTAACACACAATTGCAGGTGTGTGTCTGGTGAATTTTAGGCTAAAGCTGATCTTGATTTGGTGAAGTTATTCACAGTCGGACGAGTATCCAGAAATTTTACTCAAGCAAGAGTAGTGATGCTTCATAGCAAAATTACTCAAGTAAAAAAGTAGACCACAGCAAAAATACTCCTAAATATACGCTTGTTGTCCGAAAAATTAGCCAAGTAAATACAACTAATTATTATTCAGCTCTGGATGTATTATCTATCATTTGGTTCATCACTCTTAACGTTAGATAATCATAACCTCACATGTTTGTATCTCCAAAAGCTGAGCCAAAGTACAAACAATGCACTCTTTTTTTGGTTCCATGGCAGTCGGTGTAGTTAATACAATCTTGTGCGTCACACTGCGGTTTGCTTCACTGACGCATTCACAAGCAGCGCCTTCCTCTCCCTGAAAGGGGCGTACGATGCTTTAGAGTCTGCGGATTTTGCCTCATTCCAACGTTTTTGCAGGTCCTCCCTCCATCTTTTCATCGGCCTTAACCAGATCCCCCCGTCGCTGCTGAAAAAATAAGCTTCCCCTTTTAGCGAGATCCATGCACACCATGGGGAAGCTGTGCTCGAGCTGACATGAGCTGTTATGTTCCCCAACAAACTAGATTCAAAGTAACTTTGTTTTTTAGCTTTGCTTTGTCTGTGTTTTTCAGGGTTTCATCATTCCAGTCAGTAAATGCAGGTGGGCATGTCTGGGTATTTGGGTCACAGTAAATTGGTAGTAGTTTGCTTCTTCCACTTCACAATCGCTACTTTGTATTGGTCTATCTAATAAAATTACAATCAAATACGTGGAAGTTAGTTTTTGTAAACTAAAAAAATATGAGAGTTTGAATTATTTTGCAAGGAACTGCAGATTTTGTCCTGTTGTTATACACAACCGTGCTAGATCCATGGTAAAGTATTTAACAGGAGTTTAAAAAAAATAAAAATAAATAAAGAAAGTGTAAAAATGCAGGACAACAGAATTAGTGTTGCTTATAATTTCTCGATTAGGTGATTCATAATTTTAAAGCACTGCGCTCTATGTCTGCATCAAACTTTGCAAGCTGGAGCCCACCACCAGAGGGCGGTACAGTGCCAAGCAGAAGTCATGAAGCGGCGTGTGAGATATGTCCACTAAACTAACTTTTTCCACTTTTCTATGTGAATTCGCTTGCTGTCATCGCTACTTCTGACGACACCGTTCTGGGTGATGCACGTGAAACCAGGACAGTCAAGTGTTTGCTGCACGTTCATTTGAACTCACTCATCTGGTTAGACCAGTGCTGCTCTCAAGGAGAAAAAACAAAGAGTGAACACACATCACTACAACAGACATTAATGTCTGCACAGACTTTAAAATCCAACATGTTTGCAAGTGGATTTATGTCCGTTTCTTTAATTTTTAATTTTTTTTTTTTTTGCTTGCAAGACTGTTTACTAAATATGTTTGTTAAAGTAATTTTAACACTTGAGGTCTTAAAATATGAGAAGTTTGATCATCCTTAATGGAATTTTTTGTCTGCAAGACTGGTTGGAGATCAGAAATACAAACTTGCAAGCATTAAAGCACGACTCTTTTGGTGGCAGAAACTTTCTCTTATAAAATCACAATACTGCATTCTAAGATGAACACTTTATTTTTCTTTTCACATCAAGTCGGCAATTATACACAATAAGGAAGGTACAATACAAGCACAACAGAGAATCACAGACAACGCATCTATTTTTTCCCCTGGTTTAGACAAAACACTGAAAGTATGCAACAAAATAGAACTGAGCAGAACTCTTTTCAACAAAATAGAAATGCATTCATTTTCGTTCACATTTTAAGCTCTGCTAGGATTTGCAAACAAAAAGGTTCAGTAAACCAGAATTTTCAACACTAAGACTTCTTAAAAATATAAAGTGCACGGTATGTTTTCTTCATATGTTGACATCAGCTGCACAGACAAAACAAAACACATTTACAGATAAAAACACTATTGCTTTTGACTGATTGATCAACAGATACAGATTTTTTTTTCCCCACCAGATGAACAACTGTTGAACTATTGAACTATTGAAAACTGTTGAAACATCAATAGTTTGGAGTACAAACTAAAACATGACATGTAAAGAATATTTTTTTTTCTTTTTTTTATAGTAAATGTTCTGACATTCGCGGTAGGTGCAGTCGAATTCAACAACATTCATGCCGTCTTTACGTCTATCTTTGTTTTCATCTGTTCATGTTTGTTTTAGGAGGAGTATATTGGAGCTGGGAGCAGAAGGGAACAGTTGATTATCTTGTCAAACATTGTCACTTGGTTTGTTTTTCTATCATCCGCATCAATCCTCTGGTCTCGTTTGCACAGTTCTCTCTGCCTCCGTTCGTCCATCTCTACGAGAGGAGGCAGCTGTTGGTTTTGTTCATGGGGGCGCGCTTGTGGTTTTCCTTGGGGAACGTCAGCCGCCTCTTGCAGAGCACCGGACTCAGCTGCATGGGCAGGTTGGCCCGCTGCAGCAGCTCCACGAAGGCCTCCATCACGTTGACGTTGTCCTTGGCCGAGGACTCCAGGAAGATGTGGTTCCAGTCCACTTCCACCGTGGACAGCACGTCCTTGCTGGACACCCTCCGCTCCTTGAGTCGGTCTATCTTGTTGCCTATCACCACGATCGGCATGTGCTTGCTCTCCTTGACCTCCAGGATCTCCTCTCGCAGTCTCTTGACCGCCTCAAGGGAGTCTGGATCGTCCACGGCGTAGACCAGAGCAAAGGCGTCGCTGTTCTGGATGGAGAGTTTGCGCATGGCGGGGAAGGAGTAGCTCCCACTGGTGTCCATAATGCTGATGGTGACTTTAATTCCTCCCACTTCGTACTCCTTCCTGTGGAGCTCCTCCACTGTGCGCCGGTGCTTCGGCTCAAAGGTGTCTTTGAGGAACCGCTGGATGAGGGCTGTCTTCCCCACTCCCCCTGCTCCTAGAAACACCAGACGCACTTCAGCCTTGTCTTTTGTCTCAAAAGACATGGCAATGTTTTTTCTCTTTTCTCTTGCAAAAGCTAAAAATTCCGTCCACTTTTTCTGCTGCAGCCAATGCGTGCCGGTGAAGACTTTTACATGTGCTGACAGAACTGAGAAGGATTGATAGTAGAAGCTTGCGTATGAATGCATGCCCTTCTGACTGCACGCTGTATTTATTAACACTCATCACCTGCCCACTGGGCTCCCAGCCAATCAGGATAAGGACGGAGTTTGAGTTTACACCAGCCAATCAGAAAACAATTCAAGAAAAGAGAGAAGATTTAAAAAAGAAACAAAACATTACCAGGGTGTTATTTGTGAATGCAGAACACATCTCTGAATGTTTCTATCGACATACACAATTTTCTTTTACTGCAAAAGAGACTTTCAAGTGCAATCAAAAGCAATTTCTTTTTTCTGTAGAAAAAAAAAAATCGATTTATAATTTTTTTTTATGTATAGTTTTTAAGACTTTGCCTTTGTAAAGTGTATTATTGCATGTATCATTCTGGGGAAGAAGAACAAATGACCTGCTAGTAGAAACTTCTCACAATACTGCAATAGTGATTCCCGTTTTTTCTTTTATTCTGTAGCTTGTGTTTCAGGTCTCTCAGCAAATGGTCGAATACGCTTTGGGTCTCAAACATGCCTTTGTGGCTCTTGCACCATCTCCATATTGTGGCTCTACACATCTGACCTTGACATGCAGGTCCTCTCTAAAGGTCAAGGGTCAGGCATTGAACCAGAACTTAAGAGTTTCAATTACTGAGGTTAGAAACCGTTTTGGCAAAGTGCTTCACCCAACCATAAGAAGATGATCTTTGTCAACAAACATCAGGACCACATAGTCTAGCCCCCCAGCAGGAATGGCTGTACCTGTGGTTTATGGCTCGTCCGAGTCCAGTGGAGGGGGCTGATGGACTGCATTCACAGAGTAAAGCCTCCACCTCTGGGTGTGCATCTATATTTCCCATCAGCATGATGGTGGGACATTCTCCAATATTTAAGACACCTGAATCAGCAACAGGGATCTCAGTCTTAATCCACGAAGGAAAACCAAACCTTTCCCTCTACTGACTCTTCAGGTTGCCTCTGCAAACTTGACACAGCTTCACAGGCCCATCCTGGCTCAGGTTCTCCTTCTTCCCCTCCGTCCGGTCTGCAGAGGACTTGGCTGCAGTGGTCAGAAAACTTAATGTAGACATGCAGGATTTAACCAGTAGTGGTCTGTGGAAAAGTGACCACCTACACAGAGACTTTAACAACACCACAGCTACCAGATCACAACAACACACGGAAAAGTCTTGTGTGCATTTTCCATGTAGCCCAAAGAGTTCAATTTTGAGGTCATCTTACACATGTTTGCTGTAGCAGTGGGTTTGATTCTCCCACCTGAGCTATGGATCCCTGCAGCTGCCTCCTTTCGTACTATGGGCCTTTTTTCTGCAGTATGTAACTTTTATAAAGAATATATTTTTCACATATCTGTTAAAACTGTCACCGTGTTGTGACACAATGTTATGAGACAGGTAGTCTGTGAAAAAAATGGATCCACCTCCTTCCTGAGCTACTATTGCTTTCTGAAGAAATGCAAGGCTTCCGGCCAAAAACAACCAACCAGAGTGAGGAGGAGGGTCTTAGCGCTGTCAATCAATGTTGCCAATTATGCTAATGCCGGGGAAAAATCTTGTCCTTACAGGAAAATCATTTATCCGTCGACAAAGGTGGCTAGCCTGAACATTTACGACATTCACTGCTAGCATAGCAGAGAGCAGGTGGGGCAGGGGGAGGAGCAGAGCCACACAAGATTGTGATTGACAGCGCTAAGACCCGCCTCCTGGCTTTGATTGGTTGTTTCTAGTTAGGACTAGAGGGAGACGGCAGAGGAGCTCAATATTTATCTGTCTCCTACCATACTGTCATAATGACAAAAACGTAAAAAAAAATACTTTAGTTTTATTTTACAAAAATTACATACGGCAGCTCTAATTAGTATTCTGATGGATTCCAAATTTAAAGTGGAAGCTGCATCTGTTCACGTCGCGTTCTTAAAAATCCTCTTGGCAGCTAAGTGAGAAGTTGTTCTTTTGCAGCAGCTGTTTCTGCTCCTTGATGCAGGAGGCAGCTGCTGATCCCTCCGTCGTATTAATCTGTGATGGCTGGCTGTGATAAAAGGGGAGGACAATTTGCACTATGAACATGCTGTCTTTCTACCTGATTGAGCCGCTCCAATCTCTGAATCTGCCAATCCGTTGAAAAGAAAAAAAAATAAATAAATAAAAAACGCTCTCTGCTAATTTGAACAAACGTAAGTTTTTTTTTTTTTTTTTTTTTTTTTTTTTAAAAATTTTTTTTTTTAATAATTTTTTTAAAAAGTTTAAAATTTTTAAAAAAATCCAATGGTTTCCTGA